AGTTCTGAGGTAGTTTGCCCATACTTCCATGTCGGATGCAAGTTTTGTAGCCAGGTCCGCTGCTTCCCGTAACGTGGGCTCTCTCCAGTTGGGGTTAAAGGCCATGTGAGTGTTGAGTTCCCATGGGTTAGGCCATCCAGTTTCGTCAAGGAAGCCTGGTCCCTCGTAGGCTAGAATGCTTTGCAAGCGTTGCCTTAAAGCAAGGATCTCAAGAAGCACGAAACCAAATCCAAAAGGTTTGGTTTCGGGGTGACGAAATAAGCGAAACAGTAACTGAGGCCTCCAACACCCCCCACCACACCTCGCGATTTTCGCTACCCCCCAAAACCAAACCCTTTGGTTTTGGTTTTCTGCTTCTTGAGATCCTCACTTTAAGTCATGTGATGGATCCGTGGTTCCTCCTGGAGGAACGATGGTAACGGCTGCAGCAAGTTCTGAGGTTGTCATGCCGACCTCTTGAGTAAGAAGGGACTCCATCTCGTCTTCCTCGAGGGTTTCTTGTCCTGTTCCAGCGTTGTTGCTGGAGGAGGCTGTCGGTGTTCGATAGGTACGGCAGATGCTGTCTGGTCCAGGGTCGTGCAGATCCATCTCAGGTGGGTGCATGTGGTGAGTGACCAACGGATGGCCGTCGGGGTGTTTCCACTCCTTCTCTACTTGGTAGGCGAAGTTGAGAGGAATAAGGCCGATCAGCTCATGGCTGTTGCCATTGTTGTTAGGGGTGTCGAAGCCTATGATGTAGACTCTGTTGACTGCTACTACCTTGCCGATGTACCGTAGTGGGTTCAGCTGTTCATTAGGCTAATGTGGCTTGTGGTAGTGTAACAAAAGGTCCCGTGTCTGAGGGTTGGTACTGATCTCAACACCGCAGGACATCAGCTGAGCCATTGAGAGGAAGTTGTAGCGCATGTTCTGTTCGATGAGCACGTCGTTCAGAGTGATATGTGCGAGTGTGTTGTGCGCCTGAAGGACAACGATCCCCTGGTGCTTGGCCACCAGTCGTTCGTTGTTGGTTACGGTGACGCAGGCAGCGGCGCGTGTGAGGACGTCATTGGAGATAAGGCGTGCAGATTCGACCATGTGCTGTCCGCAACAACTGTCCAGATACCAAGTATTGTAGTTCTCGCGGTTGTTCCGAGCGATCATCGCGATCCTTGGGGTCAGCAGGTAGGGCTTGTTCGTCTTGTGCATGCGATGGTCCCTTGGGAAGTCATCCTAGCCTTGCTCGTCGCCTCCGAATGTTGTATCGGTGATGTAGGGTGTCGACTCCAGCAGGGGAATGGGAAAATTCTATTCCAGATCCTCTTCATCGATCTCTCGTAGATGTCGTGCTCGTTGTAGAGGTTATTGTAGTCCTGGGCCGCTATAGCCGGTTCGAAGTCTCCTTGACTGGGTGCAGCTGTGGCGCACAAAGACGTCAATTCACTCGACGTGTCGGACCCCGAGCTATCATCACCATGAAGACTTGGCGATGGATAGGTTGACCATGTGAGCCTGGGTGAGTTAGGACGAGGGTCCGAGGATGCAGGAGGGCGGGGGAATGGTCGCTGGTCCGTGTGGAACGGGCGATTGGTCTTGCACATGTCTTGGGGGGAAGAATCTATGGGTCTCCTCTAGTGAGAGTGACTCCATTGACTTCCGCTTGAGTTAGGCATGTAGGATGGTCGTGCGTTGCTTCCAGCTCGGTTTTGACAGCGCTTGATAGAGTGTCTGAAGGTTTTGCAGTGTTTGCAAAAGTAGCGGCGATTGCGCGTGTCGCAGCATGGCTCCTTCTGGCCCGAGTAGAAGGCAATCCTCTCTTTGCATGGAGCTCTCTCCTTGTAGAGGTCCACATCCTGCTGCTCAGCCAGCAGTGTCATGCAAAGGGTCACATCGAAAATTTAGCCCTGCTGGCGTAGCAGTTCCTTGCATGGTCGCCATTCGAGGGTAAGTCCTGCGAGCACGATCATCACAAACATATCTCCAGTGATTGTGTTCCCGAGCTTGTCGATCTGGTCGCGGATGCTTCGGCAGTGATTGATGGAAGTGTTGGCATTCTCTCCTAAAACCATCTTCACTTCTAATAGCTGGCCGAGCAGTCGACTCGACGACACGGAGTCCTTCGACTGATAGAGGTTTGTCAGGTAGAGCCACGAGTCTCGTGCCGGAGCGGTGCGGGTTTTGAACGATCGAATTCCGAGTTGCTCGGAAGCGGATATGTTCCGTAAAAGGACGATGTACGTCATTAGCGATTCGTTGTAATATCGTTGTTTTGCGTCTTCGGTGTCGATAATCGATCCGGGGTAAGATCCGTCGAAACAGCAGAAGATTTGAGTGCTCTGCAATAGTAGCTCGAAATCAGAACTTCAGGAGTAGAAATTGCGACCATCGAAGATAGAGCTTGTTCCGATCTTAGAAACAACGAAGAATTTTGATTGTGTTGTCTGCAGAGCTTCGTCACTTAATCGTATGCTTGCAGGTGGTTGCGTGTTGGAAAGTTGAAGTTGAAGAAGCCAGGAATGGAGTCCTTGTCTACAGAGGTTGGTTACATTTCACTGGTTTCGCGGGCGGTGCTCGACCCGTCGATCTTGAGAGATTGAAGTCCCTCTCCAAGAATTGACATTCGTTGGAGCAATTTTTCAAGGAGTCCTGTGGAGGCGGAAGTGGTTGCTGTCGGATTCAGAGTGTTTGCAGGTGGTTCGGGAGGAGGACTTCCTTTCCCTAGTGATCCCGAGCCTAGGGCCATTCTATGGTGGGAACGAGTCACTGGCGCCACAATATTTGGATTTGAAACTAATCAAGAGTGGCGTGCGTATAATCCTGATAGGCCCTGTTTACCATGAAGCAATCCAATATGGTCCGTAGGATCTTTAGGATTGAACTGCAGTAGTGCGCTTTGCGGAAGCGATTGATTGGTCTGGTGAACCCTGTCAGAGTGAATGTAACATAACAATGTTGATTATCGCAAGGGGGTATAGTGTGTTGAGATAGGGTTTAGCTAGGTAGGAGAAAGTTAGTAAGAGAAAAGGGCTTGACTAGAGAAGAGAGAGGGGTACAAGAGAAGAGCCATCCCTTCTACAGTAAGAACCGGTACATTGTAGTACACCTACCTAGCCTACACATATATATAAAACATATATCTTGACACACCCCTTAGGCTTGGTAGGCGCTACTCACAGAAGCAAGAGACCAGGGCAGCACTACTAGTCTGTCCACTGGTATGAGTAGTAAGAAAATGTCACACCATACATCACATACCCAGCACCCCCAAGCCCAAACGCCCCCATACCTAGCAGAAGCAGTGGTATTCTACAGCCGGTTCGACCCCTCGGCGAACGAGGCGGCGACGTCTGCAGCAGCGGCGGCGGCGGCGACGACGACGATAGTGGCGGCAGCGACAATGACAGCGGCGGCGGTGGCGGTGGCGGAGCCCGCGGCACACGGCGGCGTGGCACGTCTCTACGACAACGGGGAAGGACGGTGCGAGATAACCATCAGCTGCGGCGGGGAGGGGGGGTGGGACGCAGGGGAGCGTGCGGGTCTTCGGCGGCTGGTGTATTTAGAGGGCAAGGGGGTGGCTAGAGCTCGCTGGCTGGGGCCAGTAACGAACAGGGGCCGGCGACGACGAGCAGGGGTGGGCACGGCTAGTAGGGGCCAGCGCGGCGTAGCGAGCTGGGGCCAATGCGGTGAGCAAAGGGACAGCGCGTCGCGACGAGGAGAGGGGAGAATGAGATGCGAAAGCCTGGGGACCAGGATGGACCTGCTCTGAAACCATGTTGAAGATAGGGTTTAGCTAGGTAGGAGAAAGTTAGCGAGAGAAAAGGGCTTGACTAGAGAAGAGAGAGGGGTACAAGAGAAGAGTTGTCCCCTCTACAATAAGAACCAGTACATTATTGTACACCTACCTAGCCTATATATATATAACATATTTGTTGACACAGGGTTCATATGATGATACAAGGGAATACGAAGGGTCGAACTAAGATGCACTTATTAAGGGTACATTCACTTTGAGGTTCTAGATCCGACTTGGGTAATTGTACACGACTCGTGTAACTGTCTGCACTGTATTACGGGGTCAGTTATGTGTCCTTAATGTCATGACGGACCCTTGGACCTCTGTCGGTTCGACTGTCAGTCAACGGTAAACGACGTTTGCACTTCGTGCTTCTCGCTTGTCGATTCAAACGACGTGAAGTTATTTCTGAAATTTACTATACATTATTGGACATCAAAATCATGACGTTTGGTGTGTTCCTATGGTACATACAAAGTGGGATTTCACAGGACATGCATTCATATCAGTAGGCTTGTCTTTGGAATGTATGCTTTATTCTCGTACCCGGCCTCTCTAAGAAGAGTAATGGGACCAGATACAGTAGTCGTTGGCGTCTTTCGGTTTGGCCCAAGGGCGTGTCCAGGGCGTACGTTTTTTGTCAAAACCCTACCCAACCATTTTAGAAACGTTATCGATCCTTCTGATCCGTGAGGCACCTCACCCAACCGCAATCAGACGTTCGCGCTGGACACGCCCTAAGAGCTGTGCGATTCTTGTTGCCGTCATCCAACGGATGCCAGAACTGTCGGCTTGATTCCCCCGCCTAACATTTTGTACCCGATTCCGCGTCGCGCACTGCTGGCAGGAGTCGCAGAGCGACTCTGTTCACATGGAAGCACCGCACTGCGAAACGAATTCGACCGGTCGTCCGGGGTCAAGCAAAGGCAGCGCGGCCGCGAGGTGAATTGGGCAATTTCCCTGACAGCAACAGAACCGAATCGCGGCAATGTCGAACACTGGGAATGTCGGAACTCCTCAGCGTCGATGGATGACCGCTCTGTTGAGCAAGCGAATCGACGGCTCGCCGTGCCTGCACCACCTTCCAGCTCGCCTATTCTTCTCCCACCAGCTGACCCACCCCACCGCGGGAATGACGTGGTTGCCAGGCGCGTGAACTCGACAAGGGACAAGCAAGTGCTACTATACCGCCTCTGACGGGAGTGCGGATGGAGTAAAAGGGTGATCGTTTTGTCAACTGAGCCAGCAGCATCAGTGGATTAGTCATCTCGCACTTTCGTTGTCCTCTTCGCCCCCATCAGGTGGATCAGACTCAGAATTTCTTGTTAATTACGCCACACGAGGCCTTCAAGCCATTATTATCGCTCCTACGCACACAACAAACGGATTTTTTTTGGGTTGTTCAAGCTTTCAGTTGGAATCGTAATCAAACCTCGTATAGACCCAGTGACGCCGGTTCTGCCTGCGAGTACATACAGACACAATGACCAGGCTGCATCTTAGCTTCTCGCAATCCTACATGCCTCCAACCATAGCGTTCACCATTCTCCTCCCTCTACTCGCCATTGTCGCGTTAGCCACGGCAGGATGCCTGGCCACTCAGCCACAGTCAATCCTCCCATACCCGCTAGAGATCTTCCGTCCCGAACTACAAGCGTCCGACACATTCCGGCAGTCGCTCCTGCCGCTGCAGACGGACGCCGAAACCGGCGGCACTAACGGTGGCATCGATTCAATCCAACGAGTCACCAGCGAGAACAGCGAGCCCAGGGAGGCCAGCGAAACCAGCAGCAGCAACGGACAGCAGAGAAGGAGGTTGAAGAGGACGAAAAGCACGAAGGCTGTTAAGGCGACGGGAGGATCGGCCGCTAGTGCTGCCTCTATTGCGTCGAAGAATCCAAAGAACTCGAAAAACTCGAAGAATTCTAAGAATTCAAAGAAGAAGAAGACGGGTTCGCGCGGGAAGGCGCAAGCCGGTCAGGGCGACTCGTTCCTGCACGAAGCGATTGCGAACGCCAATGAGAAGGCGGGAAGGTGAGCACAGTGCTTGCTTACGCAGCTAAGATCCTTGCTGGCTATATTTCCGACGATGGCTTAGCTTAGAAAGAGGGTCACCAGTCCCGCTTAGCTTTGGTCAAGCTTCGGAATTTCCGGACTTGCTGAAGTTGATATATTCGTGCTTCCTTTCTCCGTTTCCGCGCTCTCTCGTGTGTGTTGTGTCTGTGTGTATTCACGGAATTTTTTCTCCCCCTGATGGTCAATCTACGCAGTACCGTCAAGGTGGTGCTGTCTGCTGACGTGTCGCTCGCGTCAGACCTCCCTGCGCTCGAGTACAACGCCATTCTCCAGATCCGCGGGAAATGCGGAGGCAAGCGGTGCGTCATCAAGGGCAACGGTTTTAAAGGCTTCGACTGCGATCCCGGCGCCGCGCTACAGCTCGAAGACCTCCAAATAGAAGGATTCTCCGGCGGCGCGATTACCGGCGAATGCAGCGGCGTGGGGCTCGCGAAACCGCTCGTCGCACGTCGTGTAACCTTCCGCGGTAACAGCAACACGCGGGGTGGGGCGATTCTCCAGGAGCTCTCGACGATCCAGATCACGGAATGCGTTTTCGAGAACAACCAGGCGTCGTTGGATGGCGGCGCGATCGCGCTGCTGCGGAGCGGGTTCCTCGCGATTTTCAACTCCACGTTTGCGAATAACGTGGCGACCGCCGGGTATGGCGGCGCAGTGGCCGGGCAGGTTAACTACGTGCAGAGAAGCCACTTCGAGGGAAACTCGGCGAAGCTAGACGGCGGCGCGATCTACTCGACCGCGATCGCCGGGCAAGCGCCTAACATTATGCGGACATCGTTCCAGGCGAATGTTGCGAGGACAGGCGGCGGTGGAGGGCTGTTCGTGGGTGTGGAGGGCGGGAGCGGGGACATGCAGCTGGTAACCCGTGTGTGTTATTCGTCGTTCGCGAAGAACAGTGCTGTTTCGCCAACGGCTAGCGATGATATTTTGGTGGATGGCGTGGAGGGCGGGAAAAATATGCTCCAGCTGTGTGGTAACCAGAAGCCTGACATCGTGGCTCAGCAGCCCAACGGCCAAGGTGGGCCTAGCAGTTCCGTTTCTCGTGAATCCTGTTCCTCGCTTTCTTTCTAGCTGTCCGTGACTGTTCTTCACTTGTCCGTTTCTTGCTTGTCTCCACCCGAGCGTGCGCACATGCGTACGCACACACGCCCACGCATGCACGCATTCGCGCTCACGCGCTCACGCGCCCACCCACAACCCCTCACCTCACCCTCATCCTCACCCTCGCACATTTGAAGCCGCTGTTGCCGGCTCGACGCCCCGCCCCGCATCTCATAAGAATCATCTCATCTCCACCTCCGCGTTCGCTTTGCGGCAGTGGTCCAGTCGTGCACCGGGTGCTCTGGCTGCGGCGATGGCAGCGACTGCAACGGCAAGGGCAAATGCACCTACGATAAGGTGAGCTGCTTATCCAGTGGGGCTAATCCACGCACCCATCTCCCTTCCGCCACTACATCCGTCCATCCGTCAGGCCGGCCGGCCGGCTGTCTTTCCGTCTGCCGGTCGTCCGTCCGCCGTCCGTTCAATTGAGTCTGCACTTGTCCCTCCACCCAATCCACCCGCTCACACTCTGCCATCCCTCCCGTACCTCCCCCCTCTCCCCAGGTGGATGGCACCCCCACCTGCAAGTGCCAAGGCAGCTACTCTAGGGCGGCGTCCTGTGCCACGTGCGCCCTAGGATACAGCCTGGCTTCCGGCTGCAAGCTCTGCATAGCAGGCTTCATTCCCGTCTCCTCCTCCGCCTCCTCCTCCTCCGCCACCACCTCTGGAAAGAAGGGAGCGGCTACTAAGGAGGATGTGAAGTGCAAAACGTGTCCGGCTCTGAAGGCGATCAGCGACTTGGACGTGTACCGGATTATCGGGGGGGCGCGGGTGTCTACCCATGCTGCATGCGCGGACATGTGTGCGTCGAGCCGGAGGATCCAGACGTACGAGGGGGACAAGCTGTCGTGTGAGAGCTGGGTGTGGATACCGAAGGGCTCTGCTGCTGCTGCTGCAAAGAGCAAGGGCAGCAGCAGCAGCAGCAGTGGCAGTGGCGGTGGGAAGAAGAAGCGCGTGGCGGCGGCCTGGGAGAGTGAGTGTGGCGGGCTGTGCGTGATGCGGCACACGGACGGGGCGTGCAGTAACGCGAGTGCGACGGTGAGGACCGCAGGCAGTTACTCGTTCTACATGGGGTCGTTCGACGACGGCAGCTGCCAGGCGTGACCTGCGGGGAGGGAGAATGGAGGGAGGGGCTTGGGGTTGCTTGATGGGAGCAAAATCTCATGCAGTAACTGCTGCAGCGAGCATGGCAGTGGCACACCCTAACTGGTCTGACTCAGCCGGTTTCTGGAGAACGAGGTGGTGGGCGATGCGCTATCAAGTTTCTCTAAAGCGAGGAACAACCGGGTACGGGATGATGGAACATAGTTGAGGTTCATACATACTAGTAATGTATTTTTGTCAAAATGATCCATGTGCCTTCTTTGGAGGTTGGTAATGAAACTAGATATGAGTTACTTGTTCCTAATTTGGATGGCCTTTTTTGTACGTACCACTACTATGGGATAAAAACTGTATTTTTTAACAAAGGTGACAATACACATTTGTATATGTTTTAGGCTAGATAGGTGCATGCTTATGGAGAGTACAACTCCTTTGGACAAAACCACCCTGCATCACTCTTTCTAGTTCATTACGTTATTCTGAGATGGTATCACGCTAGGTTAGGTCCCCCTCCTCGCTTGCGCTTCCGCCCCTAGCCCTAGGCCTAGCCCGTGTCCTAGCCGCGTCCTAGCCATGCCCTAGCCCTAGCCGCGTCCTAGCAGTGTCCCTGCAGCGTCCTAGCCGTGCCCTAGCCCTAGCCGCGCCCGCGCCCTAGCTCTGTCCGCGCTGGCCCCGTCACTTCGCGACCTTGTCAGTTCACCTATCCCTGTTAGTTCGCGCCATCCCCGTTCGTTCGCGCCGGCCCCGCTAGTTCGTGCCGGCCCCGTCACTTCGCGACCTTGTCAGTTCACGCCGGCCCCACCGCTTCGCACAAGCCCCGTCCGTTCGCGCCAGCCTCGCTAGTTCGCGCTGGCCCCGTCACTTCGCACCGGCCCCGTTGGTTCGTACCGGCCCCACTAGTTCGCGCCGGCCCCGTCGCTACGCGCTGGCCCCGTCGCTACGCGCTGGCCCCGTCACCTTGCGACGGCCCTGTCAATTCGGGTCGGCCTCGTCCGTTCGCGCCGACCTCGCTAGTTCGCGCTGGCCCTGTCAGTTCGCGCCGGCCCCGTCACTTCGCGCCGGCCCTGTCAGTTCACGCCGGCCCCTCTAGGTCGCGCCGGCCCCGCCACTTCGCGCTGGCCCTGCTAGTCCGCGTCGGCCCTGCTCGCCCATGCCGGCCCCACCACTTCGCGCCGGCCCCGCTAGTTCGCGCCGGCCCTGCCATTTCGAGCCGGCCCTAGTTCGCGTCGGCCCCTGTTCCCGCCGTCTGGCGATGCCGCCGTGCTGCCGTGACGCCATGACGCCGTGCCGCCATGTTGCCGTGCCACCGTGCTGCCGTGCCGCTGTGTCGTCGTGTCGCCGTATCGCCGTGTCGCCATTCCGTCGAGCCTCCGTGCCGCTGTGTCGCTGTCAGCTGCTGCGGCCGTGGTGATCGCGGACGCTGTGCTCTGCCTGGACGCGGAGGGTCAGGCGATCAACTTTGAGGCGTGGCTCGTCGACCTCCGCCGTCAGCATACAAGTCAGCGCCAGGACGGCTACTCCCTGGCCGTCCATGTCGACGGTAAGCTTCCCTGCCCCGCCGCTCCTCCTGTCCTCCCTGTCGCTCCCACGTCTGCTGAGCGTGAGGCCTTTGCCACTGCTGAGCTTGCCTGCGCTGTCTGGGAGTCGCGCGACACAGTAGCACAACTTGCTATTAGTTACGCCCTTCCCCTGTCTGAGCGTTCCCACTTTACTGCTATAGCGAATGCGAAGAAATACTTAGATGCAGTCATCGTACGCCATTCCACTCCCTCCTCCGCCTCAGCCGGCCATCTAATCCTCCCCATGTTGTTTCTGGATCTTGCGTCCTTCCCCATTGTCACTGACCTTGCCACTCATCTGCGCGCACTTGAGACTACTTACCGCGCTACTAGCACTGAGGCCCGGCTCACTATATTCCCTCCTCCCCTCTGCGCTCCCCTTTACCTTATTGGCATGTGCCTTCCTGACCGCCTTACCACTGCCCGCGTCCACTTCCTTAGTCAACATCCAGGTGACCTCACCCTTCCTGACTTTGTCACCGCCCTGTCCGCAATAGAGACCCACCAGCGCACTCGCACTCAGTCTAGCGGCACTGCGGCGGTCCCTAACTTCCAGGGCTGTGCTCCCTCCCAGTGCACTTACTTTGACGTCTTTGTCGTTGTTGCTGAGATGGCCCCTGCTGCTGAGCCCGCTGCGGCGACCTCAGCGCAGGCTCGTCAGGGTAGGACGTCGAGCCCGGGGGGGCGTGGCGGCGGGAGGGTTGGTGGGAGTGGCGGAGGTGACGGAGGTGGCGGAGGTGGCGGCATTGGTGGAGGGGACAGTGGTGCAGACGAGGGGACCGAAGCTGATGCCCCGGTGCAACAGCAGGAGCAGCAGCAGTAGCCGTGGGGACCGCCGCCGCTGTGGTGGCCCAGCAGCGCTGATGGTGGTGGTCGTGGTGGTGGGCCGCGCACCTCGGTGTCGGGTGGCGACTCCAATGTGGTCACCTGCCAGTTCCAGCTTCAGTCCGGCCCACGCCGCGGCACCGTCTGCGACCGTCCTGGTCACACCGCCGCCTGGATGACCTCTTTCATCTCCACTTCGGCACCGCGTCGGACTCCCCCCCCCCCCCCCCCCCCGACTCGTACAGCCTGGTGCATCGCCGTGTGCATGTCTTAGAGCTGGATATGGATAAGATTAGGTCTGCTATGTATGCCATGTACAGTATGCTGATGACTCTAGTGTGACTGAATCCTATTACCCTATGTTGCCTAGTGTAGGTGTGTCCCTGTGTATAGCCTAGGTTCCCTTGCTGCGTAAGGCGTAGGACCACCTGCCTTGTTTAGCCTCGGCTCCACTCTAGCTCCTCCGCCTTCGGACGCCACTGCCGCGCCCTCTTTCACGCTCGACTCGGGTGCGTCCGCCTGATTCTTTCGCGACCACACTGTGATCACGCCGCTTGCCGCCCCTGCCGCTATAGCGCTTGCTGACCCCTCCCCAGGTCCGATAGTTGCACGTTGATCCACTACCCTTCCCTGTCTGGCGGTTTCCTCGAGCTCTCTTACAGGCTTGTACATCGCCTCGTTCTCCAGGAACCTAGTTGGTTTTAGCTGTTTTCAGGACCTCGGCGTCCCCACTACATTTCCTAGACATGAGCGGTACGCAGTTTGTAGCGAGGCCGCCACTGGTGCCCCTATCACCACATTCCTTCAGGACCTGGTGTCTGGCCTGTTCACCCTAGACATCGCGTCCCCCCAGGTGGAAGCGTTCCCCAGGTTGTTGCGGCTTGCTCGTATTGGTCGCTCACCCAACCGTCGCTACTGTGGCACCACCGTTTAGGTCACCCCGCACTCCCCTGTCTTCGTCACATGTCCTATCACGGTCTTGTCTTAGGTCTCCCTGCGTCGCTCTCTGCCCTCCCTCCCTCGCCTGCTCCGTCGTTTACACCCTGCGTCGAGGGCCGGCTCCGCCGTGCTCCTCACTTCTCCTCACTTCCCTCTACCACTGTGCCACTCCAGACCCTGCACGTGGACGTCTGGAGCCCAGCCCCCGTCCCCGGGCCGTGTCGAGAGCCCTACGTTCTAGTTCTTGTCGGCGACTACACGCGCTAGACTACGGTGTTTCCCCTGGAGCGTAAGGCCGACGTGCCTGCCGTTCTTATCCCATAGTTTGTACAGTAGCTGCGCGAGTCCACCGCGGCCTCCCCATGCTGTGTCGCCACTCTGATCGTGGTGGCAAGTTCGCCTACAGTCGGCTTGGCCAGTTCTGTCGTGCGGGGGGCATCACCCAGTCGTACACTCTGCCGAACTCCCGGCAGCTGAATGGGGTCGCTTAGCGACGCATCCTTTTGGTCATGGAGGTGGCTCGTACCTCCATGATCCATGCCGGTGCACCCTTTTTTCTGTGGCCGTTCGCTATTCGCTACGTCGCTCACCAGCTTAACCAGTGGCCACATTCCCAGTGGCTGCAAGTTTCGCTGACCCTCCGGGTCCGCTGGTGACACATCTGCTTACCACTCGCCATCTCACCGTTTCTTTCACTCTTGCGACGTCACTTTTGACGAGCCTGTCTCCTTCTAAACCCGCTTTCCTCACCGAGGTCTCACGTTTTCCCTGCCCCTGTTCCCACTCCCCCTGTAGCACCTGCTCCACTCCCTCCTAGTCCTTCCCTGTCTGCTGTGTCTCACATCACTCCCCTCCCGTCGGTCGTCCCGGTCGAGGAGTCGGGTGACTCTGGGGGCCCTGACTCTCGTCCCGGTCCTAGGATTGACGCGTGTGCTGGAGAGGTTTCTAGTTTTGGGGGTGTTGGCATGGAGTGTCCCGGAGGTAGCCGTGATGCAGCTAGAGGTTCTGGTGTCGGCGTGGAGGAGCAGCAGCAGCAGTCGCCGCTGGTGTTCGCCCTTCGCCTCCTCGGTCTACCTTCCCCTGACTGCTCGTCTGCACCTCCCTTGCCGCCGCCTTCCCCACCTGTCTATGGCCCTTTGTTTCCTCCTCCTTACTTGTCCCCGGCTCGTTTCCCCACTCGTTCTCTTGGTGTGTCTCCTCCCTTGTCTCCTGACCTGACCCCCCCCTCCCACTGGTGGTCTCACCACGCCTCTCATGCTCGTCCTGTCTCTCCTGTTCAGCGCCCTCACCCTATTTTGCTCCGTTCTCATGCGTCTCGTGCTCCCCTTCTACCGTCGCCTCCTCAGTCATCTCTTGTTGTCTCCCGTCCTCCTCACTCTGACTTCCTCCGTGCCACTAGTCCGCTAGTCCCTCGCGTTCTCGCTTCTCTTCTTACCGATCCGTCCGTTCCTGTCTCCAATCATCCGTTACCGTCGCTGACTTTGCCTCTACCTGCCGCCTTGACTACGCCACCGCTTTGGTTTCTGATGCTGCCGGTCCTTCGTCTGTCGAGGGTGCACCTGCCCTTGGCAGTGACATTCTAGAGGATAGGCAGTACGAGCTCCCTTTCCTGTCCGAGGCTGCTCCCCATCTCTGCTCCAAGCTGCTAGTCCCTGAGGGTGACCCAAACTCCCTTGACATCCCGACCCCTCACACTTACGCTGAAAAGACCTCGGGACCCTGGGCCTCTCAGTAGAAAGCTGCCATGGACGCGGAGATGGCATCTTGGAGATCAATCGGCACCTACGTCGACGCGACATGGGGTAAACGTAGTCGATGGTCGGTGGCTATTTAAGGTGAAGCGCCCTCCTAGAGAGTCGCCTGTGTTCAAGGCGTGCTACGTTGCTAGAGGCTTCAGTCAGCACGAGGGTGTTGACTTCTTTCAGACCTTCGCACGGATCCCGAAGATGTCTACTCTTTGGGCGCCGCTACACGTAGCATCACAGCATGACTACGAGCTGCATTCCTCGACTTCTTCGCAACG